AAAAAAAAAAACACTCTAAAAAATGCTGGGTTAAGTTACAAAACCACATTTCATTCCTCTTCATCAATATACCAATAGTTTCATCTAGAATACTAGAATGAGCCATTTGAGGTAAAAAAAGAAAGAAAAGGGGTCAATTATATATAGAGTTATATTGATTTATATATTTCCATTAAATTAAATAGTTACATGATATGCAGACTGATTAATCAAATTAAATATTTCATATTAATATTTCCTTGGAGTGTTATTAACAAACTATTACAAATAATTTTTGTTAATTGAAATAAATAAAATAGAAACATTAGATGAAAAGCTTAAACTATAAAAATGTTAGAAATTAACCTTGTCAACTAAAAGTTTAGTTGAAAAAGCTGAAGTTCTAAAAATCATTAAAAGTGAAATAAAAATAAATCAGTTTAACAGAAATAAAAAACAAAATAAAAAAAAAAGACAAAAGCACATACAATTCCTAAAGCCTTGAGTAAAATTAGAATGAAGACTGAAAAAATTAATATACACTATAAAGAGTATAAAAATACTAAAATAGTATTTTACATGGTATAAAATACCTTGAAGGTGACATGAACATGATAAAAAAGACAACAATACATATATAGTTAGATATTTGAAATTTACATATGATTATACTGATTGTAAAGTTTCAAATTATAAAGTTTCATAATTAATTGTGCTGGGGGGTAAATCGTGGCCTAATGGTTAGAGAGTCGGACTCGTAACCCAAAGGTTGCGAGTTCGAGTCTCAGGTCCGGCAGGAATTGTAGGGTGGGGGAGTGAATGTACAGCGCTCTCTCCCACCTTCAATACCACGACTGAGGTGCCCTTGAGCAAGGCACCGAACCCCCAACTGCTCCCCGGGCGCCGCAGCATAAATGGCTGCCCACTGCTCCGGGTGTGTGTTCACGGTGTGTGTGTGTTCACTGCTGTGTGTGTGCACTTTGGATGGGTAAATGCAGAGCACTAATTCCGAGTATGGGTCACCATACTTGGCCACACGTCACGTCACGTCATAATTTTGCAGAAATAGAATGGCATAAGATGGCCTCAAAATATGATGTAGTCAGACGCATTAAAAATAATTTTATTTTCAGAAAAGATCAAACATTATACAATGTTTCCCATTCTAGTGATTCTAAAATCATTGCGTCGCTATCTTACATTTGTATTTGCATTATCGACAATCACAATGGTTGTGCTTTGCAGCAAACTGTCTTTAATTCTAGCTCAAATCAACTTTTTCGATCAACTTTAAACGTCATGGTCACAATGCCATCAATCCCAGCTTGAAGTTCATCTTGCTCCTGGACACTTGACACTCCTTTAGGGGTCCCAGTGAGAATGAGATCACCTTCTTCCAAAGAGATGATCTCGCTGATGTAGTTTATGAGATACGGGATGGAAAAGATAATCTGGGATGTGCTTCCATTCTGCTTCACGATATCGTTCACTTTCAACCACAGATTGATGCTCCCCGGGTTGGGGATCTTCTCCTTGGGAATAAAGTCACTGATGGGGCATGAGGTGTTGAAAGCTTTGGCCAGGGTCCATGGAAGACCTTTGGACTTGCATTCGTCCTGAATGTCCCGAGCTGTCATGTCAAGGCATAACACATATCCAGCCACATGCTCCATGGCTGAAGATTGAGGAATAGCAGTTCCTCCTTTACCAATCACCACCCCCAGCTCAACTTCATGGTGGAGGTTGCTGGTGTAGAAGGGCAGCAGGATAGGAGACCCTTCCCTAACGTAAGCAGACGGGGGCTTCAGGAAAAGCACAGGTTCGCTGGGAATGGCATTTTTGAGCTCGATGGCGTGATCTGCATAGTTTCTCCCGACGCATATAATTTTCCTTCCCCATTCCCAAAAGCGGGCAATATTCCTTGCGCTCATTTTGGAGTTCAACACCAGGCAGCGAGACCTGCAACCGGAGATAAAATGACCTGAATGTACAGCGCTCTCTCCCACCTTCAATACCACGACTGAGGTGCCCTTGAGCAAGGCACCGAACCCCCAACTGCTCCCCGGGCGCCGCAGCATAAATGGCTGCCCACTGCTCCGGGTGTGTGTTCACGGTGTGGGTGTGTTCACTGCTGTGTGTGTGCACTTTGGATGGGTAAATGCAGAGCACTAATTCCGAGTATGGGTCACCATACTTGGCCACACGTCACGTCACGTCATAATTTTGCAGAAATAGAATGGCATAAGATGGCCTCAAAATATGATGTAGTCAGACGCATTAAAAATTATTTTATTTTCAGAAAAGATCAAACATTATACAATGTTTCCCATTCTAGTGATTCTAAAATCATTGCGTCGCTATCTTACATTTGTATTTGCATTATCGACAATCACAATGGTTGTGCTTTGCAGCAAACTGTCTTTAATTCTAGCTCAAATCAACTTTTTCGATCAACTTTAAACGTCATGGTCACAATGCCATCAATCCCAGCTTGAAGTTCATCTTGTTCCTGGACACTTGACACTCCTTTAGGGGTCCCAGTGAGAATGAGATCACCTTCTTCCAAAGAGATGATCTCGCTGATGTAGTTTATGAGATACGGGATGGAAAAGATCATCTGGGATGTGCTTCCATTCTGCTTCACGATATCGTTCACTTTCAACCACAGATTGATGCTCCCCGGGTTGGGGATCTTCTCCTTGGGAATAAAGTCACTGATGGGGCATGAGGTGTTGAAAGCTTTGGCCAGGGTCCATGGAAGACCTTTGGACTTGCATTCGTCCTGAATGTCCCGAGCTGTCATGTCAAGGCATAACACATATCCAGCCACATGCTCCATGGCTGAAGATTGAGGAATAGCAGTTCCTCCTTTACCAATCACCACCCCCAGCTCAACTTCATGGTGGAGGTTGCTGGTGTAGAAGGGCAGCAGGATAGGAGACCCTTCCCTAACGTAAGCAGACGGGGGCTTCAGGAAAAGCACAGGTTCGCTGGGAATTGCATTTTTGAGCTCGATGGCGTGATCTGCATAGTTTCTCCCGACGCATATAATTTTCCTTCCCCATTCCCAAAAGCGGGCAATATTCCTTGCGCTCATTTTGGAGTTCAACACCAGGCAGCGAGACCTGCAACCGGAGATAAAATGACCTTTGGTCGCTCGACAACGAAGGGCGGGCAGACCCGTTAGTACAGTGCGAATTATGTAACTCTAGTTACATAATGCAAACAAATCGAACAAGAAACTGATACGATTGTGTGGAATTAAGTCCAAAAGACATCATTCATTTTGAAGCCGTTCACCACAACTACCGACCCGAAAGCGAAATTCAGATTCCTACTACAGAGAAGGCTTACGTTATTGAATATTAATTAGTTCTCGCTAACGTTCTTGAAATCCGCCCTATAGCGAACGCTGCGTCATTGAATATTAATTAGTTCTCGCTAACGTTCTTGAAATCCGCCCTATAGCGAACGCTGCGTCATTGAATATTAATTAGTTCTCGCTAACGTTCTTGAAATCCGCCCTATAGCGAACGCTGCGTCATTGAATATTTCATGTGAACTGTACTTTCTGTGACTTCTTTTTTGGCGTTGTGTTCATACCAGAAAACTTCGGCAAGACTTTTGAAAAACAGTTCATTGTAAACTTCAAACATGATGACTTTGGTCTTTTCTAGAGATATTTTGTTTGGATTTTTCACTTTTGAGGAGCAATATGAAAATGTTTACTTTCTTTGCTACCTAATTATTTTGCTTATATTTTTGCTTATATAAATATTTTATTCACAAATGCAAGATGATGAAAGTCACCTCCCAATTTTCTCACTTTATAGAACATAGTAAGGTCTATATTAAATCCTTGTCTACCTCCTGTAACAAAAAGGCAACTAAAACTTTGAATGTATGCTCACTTTTTGGTGTTTTTGTATCATTTTTATGTTTTGTAAAGATTGTTATGTTTATTGTTATGTGATCTGTTTAATTTTTTTCTATTTATTTATTTTTAATATAATTGATTTTTTGTTGTTGTCAAATTTTTATTATTTATTTATTATTATTATTATTATGATTCTCTCTCTCTCTCTCTCTCTCTCTCTCTCTCTCTCTCTTCTGAATTTTAATTGCTATGTATTGTTTGGCCATCCTTGAACCACTGGCTCTTTTCCTTGGCATATGTTTTTTCACTTTTGTATACCCTAAGCAAGTGTTTAATAATAATAATAACAACAATAATAATAATGAAAGGTCGATTTATAAAGATTATTTCGATTTACTTTTCCATTTCGTTATTCGGCAAGCCCATCAACAAAAACCTTTTTAGGAAAAACAAACAAACAAACTAAAAATAGTCAAAGCTGGTGAGAAATGTGAAAGAGACATTTATATCATATATGTGAGTTATGAATATTAATAATACTTTTAAAATGAATTTCCTTAATATGTATTATTGATCTATTTGTGACATAAAATATGTACAAATATTTTCTAAGCAAGTGTTTAATAATAATAATAACAACAATAATAATAATGAAAGATCGATTTATAAAGATTATTTCGATTTACTTTTCCATTTCGTTATTCGGCAAGGCCATCAACAAAAACCTTTTTAGGAAAAACAAACAAACAAACTAAAAATAGTCAAAGCTGGTGAGAAATGTGAAAGAGACATTTATATCATATATGTGAGTTATGAATATTAATAATACTTTTAAAATGAATTTCCTTAATATGTATTATTGATCTATTTGTGACATAAAATATGTACAAATATTTAATTTTTGTCTTTTGTTCTAATTTTTATTTTTGTAACCGTTTAACCGCTTACTGTAGTTAGCTTGTACTTCACTGTATTGATGATATTCTGGAATAAAAAAAATTAAAAAAACATTAATAATAATAATAATTTAAAAGCCAAGCCCGACGTCAAGTACAGCGTGGATTACGGCAGCACGCGCGACACTCCTCCGACTCGGATTGGTTAAACGCGGGGTCAAAGTTAAAAAGTGGGCTGATTAGCACGCTAAACCAGACTTTCTGCTTCCTCCCTGTGCTGACTGCGATATCAGACAGCTGAAGTCCTGATATGTGGTTCAGGTCACTGGCGGTGGGTGCCTGCACTCTCGGTGTTCTCGGAGCTGTCTCGCATAAATTCGGTATGTTTACACGAGCATCTCGTCTCGCGCATGACCAGAAGGGCTTATTTATGGATATGTAACCACATGTCAGCGCTGTCACAGAAGCTTTGGAGTCAATATTTTGATTATGATTTAGTATAAGAGTTGTTCCTTATACGGAGTCGAGTTATATCATCCTAGCTGTTGACATACTTTAGCGAGCATACAATGTTGCTTGCACGATTACAGTGATCGTATAATATATTGAATGCAACATGTCGCGCGTTAGGAGGGACGTAATATGCTTTCTGTTTGTCTTGCATTGTGCTCGAAAGTTGCAAAACCATTTATCAAACATTTCTTAATTCTCACTTGTGTGGTGTTATTAGGCGTGCATTTGCACTTATATATTGTTGCTCTTGTGTTAGTTTTGTCTGCTTTTATTGTTCTCATTTGTAAGTCGCTTTGGATAAAAGCGTCTGCTAAATGACTAAATGTATTGCGATAATGCATTATCGTTTACAGTATTGCATAGATGCAATATAGAGCGAATGACCCAGCATCAAAACTTTGAGCATAATAGATATGTATTTTCCAGAGATCAATTAGGCCGATTATGAATTGATCCCTAAATTTTATGATGGTAAGATTTAAAATGCACACTAGTGGGCACAATTGTGCATGCAGATGATTTTTAAACAAATAATCATCACCACAGTTTCCACAAAAATATTAAGCAGCACAACTGTTTTCAACAGTGATGATAATTAAATAAGAAATTTATGTTTGAATTTATTCAAACATATTTGAATGGTATCGTAAGTATCCTCAGATCATCAGTTATCCGAAATTGTAATAATATTTCACAATATTACTGATTTTACTGTATATTTGATCAAATAAATGCAGTCATGGTGCACATAAGAGACTAATTTTAAAAACATTTGTTTTTATTAACGGTAGTATAGATCAAAACTTTCGAAAATATATCATGTTTATAGTTTCCATCAAAATACTACATTTGCTACAGTAATTGTTACTTATTGTAGTTGTCATTTGTTTCAATTGCGTTTATCACTGGTCATACCAGGCTAAAATATTAAAACTAGTGAACCACTTTTGGAACATGGATAGTGAGCTGAACCAGTTCCCCAAATATTGAAACAAGGTAGACTTAACCAACTTATGACCGTAAATAACCAGCTTTTACCAGCTAGAAAAACATAAAAAATTTGTTGTACAGTAACAAAAAATTGTAGTGACTGAAGTATTTTGGTGGAAATTATGGTAACCATGGTATGTTTTTCATGCAGTCTAAAATGATGTAAATCTATTACTCACGCTGGAACATTTACTGATCGTGAATCTCTGTTTCATAGTTCCCACAGGCTTGTTTCACTCCGCTCTTAGGAAGTCATCTCTGGTGGAACAGACAGACATGAAGGTAGAACTGCTGCCTGCTCTCACCGACAACTACATGTACCTCCTCATCGATGAAGACACGAAGGAAGCAGCCATAGTCGATCCAGTAGAGCCTCAGAAAGTAACAATACTTCACTGTGCGCATCACATATTACAGACTGTATACCATGGATTCATAATTGTCATCTGTCTCAGGTTGTAGATGCGGTCAAAAAGCATGGTGTGAAGCTCAAAACCGTCCTGACAACTCACCATCACTGGTGAGTTAGACTTGGAATATATATATATATATATATATGTATATATGTGTTTGTGTGTGTAGCCTATATGCTCTGATATGACAAAATTTGAGTGGGAAAAAAGATTTGATGTTTTATAACTTCCAGGGATCATGCAGGAGGTAATGAAAAACTGGTAAAGCTCATGCCAGGACTGACAGTTTATGGGGGAGATGACAGAGTGGGAGCTTTAACTCAGAAAGTCACACACCACAACACTTTCAAAGTAAGTCTGATTTACATAATACAGTGCTGCTTGTGAACCCTTCAGAATTTTCTATATTTCTGCAGATAAATTACCCAGAAGGTCATCAGATGTTTCACACAAGTTCTGAAAGTATACCGAGAAGCCAATCAAACAAATGAGACAAACATATGTGACCCTGCAGCACAAAACCAGTCTTAAGTCTCTGGGGTATATTTGTAGCAATAGCCAAAAATACATTGTATGGGTCAAAATTATAGATTTTTCTTTTATGCCAAAAATCATTAGGATATTAAGTAAAGATCCATGAAGATCTTTACATGTTCCATGAAGATATTTTGTAAATTTCCTACTGTAAATATATCAAAACTTAATTTTTGATTAGTAATATGCATTGCTAAGAACTTCATTTGGACAGCTTTAAAGGAGATTTTCTCAATATTTAGATTTTTTTTGCACCCTCAGATTCCAGATTTTCAAATAGTTGTATCTCAGCTAGATATTGTCCTATCCTAACAAATCATACATCAATGGAAAGCTTATTTATTGTAATAATAATAATAATGTATAAATCTCAATTAAAAATTTTTTTTATCCGTATGACTGGTTTTGTGGTCCAGGGTCACATATATGCTTTGTCATTTATTTATTGAGAAAAATTATCCAATATTACAGATCTGTGAGTGGCAAAAGTATGTGAAATATCAGTCCTGCACAACGGCTTGTAGGAATTTTAGCCCATTCCTCAGTACAGAATGCTTCAACTCTGTGATGTTGGTGGGTTTCCTCCTATCAACTGTTTTTCCGTTTCAATTTCAATTGGAAAGAAAATATTTTTGTCTCATTTGTTTGATTGGCTTCTCTTTGTCTACATTCAGGACTTGTGTGAAGTCAAGTCAAGTCAAGTCAAGTCTGCTTTATTGTCAATTCTTCCACATGTACAGGACATACACACAGAGAATTGAAATTGCGTTACTCTCAGACCCTTGGGTGCATACAGATAACATAAATACAGATTAAATACAAAATACAACTATACAAATATACAAATAAGGTCAAATGTAAAAAAAAAAAATATATATATATATATATATATAAAAGCACAAGGCATATGGCAGATTAAAAAAAAAACATCTGATGATGTTTTTGGTTATATTTATGCAGAAATATAGAAAATTCTGAAGGGTTCACAAACTTTCAAGCACCACCGTACATGCTATTGATCAAACGTTTGGGGTCAGTATGATTTTTTTTTTTTTTATGATTCATATTTTCATTCAGCAAGGATGCATTAAATTGATCAAAAGTGACAGGAAAGACATTATTAATGTTACAAAATACTTATATTTCAAATAAATTCTGTTCTTTTAAAGGGGTCATATGATGTTGCTCAAAAGAACATTATTTTGTGTATTTGGTGTAATGAAATGTGTTTATGATTTGTTGCATCCAGTGGGGACATAATTACTGATTATAATGACTTATACTGTCTTTTTACCCATTGCGTATCGCGCTGCGTAAACATAAAACCATGTCTGGAGAAACGACAAACAACAAGCGCTACTCTACACTGCTCAAAACTCACGTTTGAATCATCAGTGGCAAATCCTTTAAATATAAAAAAAACCTACTTACAGGCTGTGAGTCAGAAGCGCCAGACTGTCCTTGCAAAGTTGGAACTGCCCCACTTTATAGAAACAGACACCGGCATTGTAGGCTACTCTCACAGGAAACAGTCCTCATCCTCCATAAAATGCGCTGCACACATCTGAATATTTGGGTTGAACTGTTCTGGAACAGTGTTGTAAATACAACTTAACCACTGATTTCTAGTTGTGTCCTCCTTTGAAAGGCCAAACAAAGCAGTTTTGCGTTTTCACAACGAAACACACAGCATCACACACGGCGGGCTAGAGTGATGAACGGCCGGTGTTGTGCCGAATTCTGCACCCCTGCCAGATTATGCACCCCCTCGCATAATCTGGCAGGGTGCAAATTTCGGCACTACACCGGCCTAGAGTGAGCGGTGGCGGGCAGGCTTGAGAACGGCGTGGCCGACGGATTCGACGAAGGAGGCTTGCGAACACCACATGTGACAACCCCGGGCTGGACTCCGATTCGTCCACGGAGAAAGCCGATCCGGTGATTGACAGCGCGAAGTTGATGTATTTCCTCAGCGACCACCACGGATCACCTCCAGGCATGACGAAGCGCCTTCAGGACATGGCGGCGGCAACAACAATACTACAGCAAGAATAAAAGTTACGCCTTCTTTCTTTGCGTGAACATTTGGGCGGCATTATGCAAATCTTCCCACAGAGCGACGTAGGTATGTTGGGGCGTGTTAGAATGAGCCGTTTTAGGTAGGCGTGGTTGGCTCTTAACTTTTATAAAGAATATCTCTTTGGATTTGAGACTTTAGTCTTTGCAACTTTACAGATCTTCTTTATGCACCAAGAGCTTGTAACACTCCAAAGAGAAAGGAAAAATTGAAATCGCATCATATGACCCCTTTAAATTTCTATTCATCAAAGAATCTTGAAAATAAATGATCATGGTTTCCACAAAAATATGAAGCAGCACAACTGTTTTCAACATTAATAATAATCAGAAATGTTTCTTGAGCAGCAAATCGGCATATTAGAATGATTTCTGAAGGATCATGTGACACTGAAGACTGGAGTAATGATAGCCTTGATAAACATAAGAGACTTCTTTATAAAACATAAAAAATCTTACCGACCCCAAACTTCTGAATGGTATTGTATAATCACATGTGTGCATAAATTGGATTTGAGTGCAGCTTAGCCAATCAGAATCATCCATTTTATACTGCTGGACACATTTAAGATGGTAGGATTTGTCAATGTTCTTATTTTCTTATGTTTTTTTTTTATTATTCCAGGTGGGCTCCCTGAATGTAAAGTGTTTGTTCACGCCATGTCACACCAGCGGTCACATCTGCTATTTTGTTACAAAAGAAAACAGCACCGAACCACCAGCTGTGTTTACAGGCAAGACATATTTTACATACACTACCAATCAAAAGGACTGAGTAGGTAAGGTTTTTTTAAATTTTTTTATGAAAATTAAGAAATTAAAACTTTAATACAATAAGGGATGCATTGATTGCATTTCTTATGTTTTTGAAAAAGTCTCTTCTGCTCACCAAGGCTGCATTTAAATGATAAAAAATACAGTAAAAACAGAAACATTGTGAAATATTATTACAATTTAAAACAACTGTGTTCTATTTGAATATATTGTAAAAATGTAATTTATTGCTGTGATGTAAAGCTGAATTTTCAGCATCATTACTCCAGTCTTCAGTGTCACATGATCCTTCAGAAATCCTTCAGATACAATTTCCTGCTCGAAAAACCTTTCTGATTATTATCAATGATGAAAACGGTTGCGCTGCTTCATAATTTTGTGGAAACCATGATACTTTTTTTTTTTTTTCCAGGATTCTTTGATGAATAGAAAGTTTAGAAGAACAGCATTTCTTTGAAAAATAAATATTTTGTAACATTATAAATGTCTTTACTGTCACTTTTGATCAATTGAATGCGCCCATAATGAATAAAAGTATTAATTTCTGTATGACTGTATTAACAATCAGTCGTTTTTTGTTATGTTCACATTATAAACAGGCGATACTCTGTTCGTGGCCGGCTGTGGAAAGTTTTTTGAGGGTACTGCTGATGAGATGTATAAAGCCCTGATCGAGGTTTTAGGCCGTCTTCCTCCAGAGACAGTAACATTTCCACCATTTATTATTAAAGGAATAAATGCAATTGAATGCTATGCTATCTTCACGGTTACAGAAATAGATGTTTTAGGTCATCTAAAGTAACGTTCTTAAGTTACAATTTGCTTCTTGTGTTTCAGCGTGTGTACTGTGGTCATGAGTACACCATCAATAATCTGAAGTTTGCTCGGCATGTTGAACCAAATAATGAGGTCATCCAGAAAAAGTTAGCATGGGCTAAGGTGTTTAACTCCTCTTGAACTCGTATTCACTTTAGCTGCAAAAATTATCATAGCACAGGTTTTTGAATAACCTTGTCTTACACCGATTAGGAAAAATACGATAACGGAGAGCCAACCATTCCCTCTACACTGGCTGATGAGTTCACATTTAACCCCTTCATGAGAGTGAGGTATGTGAAATAACTCCTAACTATACATCATATAAACCTTGCACCATCTTTGACAAATGGGTTAACTTCGAATATTACGATAAAAAAAATATGTTGGTTGGAAAAAGAAAAAAAAAACACACAAAGATAAAACTAATAAAAATGTGAAAAACTATTATTATTAAAATGCATGAAAAATATTAATAGTTATTTATTTATTCTTTATAATTATATAAATATATACACACACACACACACACATATATATACATACAGTCATGGCCAAAAATATCTGCACCCTTGGTAAATATGATCAAAGAAGGCTGTGAAAATTAATCTGCATTGTTAATCCTTTTGAACTTTTATTTAAAAAATTCACAAAAATCTAACCTTTCATTGTATAATAAGTATTTAAAATGGGGGGAAATATCATTACGAAATAAATGTTTTTCTCAAATCCAACTGTCCTGTTTTATTATCAAAAGATTTACATAAAATATGCATAACAATTATAATAATTCAAAGTATCAAATTACAGTTTTAAATGTCACACACAAATGAAAAAGATGTACCGTGCACATTATTAATATCAGGACTAATTTAATACTTCAAAATTTAATACTTTTTTTTGTTGTAATGTTGTTTGGTTATTTTAAGAAGCCCTGAATCAAAATGCCTATAAAAATAAAGTAAACATCACAAATATATGGAAAAAAACTTGAGTAAAATATATTTATAGTTTATTTTCTCAATAAATAGAATTACATTCATGGAATGATTATATGCTCGGCAACATGTAATCATATTTTTATTATCATAAATCAAAAGATATTTAAAAAAAACAAGAAAAAAATATTTTCAGTGCATACTACATAGTAACATATTTTGCATTCAACGCTTTCAAAGAAACAAACTCATGAATAAATGAAAGAAAGAAAAAATAAGGCAACATTCATGGACAGAAAAATTGTCTACTGCTATAAAATACATAAATGCTGGTTTGATATGTAGTCTGACCTCAACTTTCTTCAGCAGATACCTAATAGAAGCGTATTTGCAGGAAATATTACTACATAATCACATTTGTTAATGACATGTCTATAAGTGTTGAGCTGGTGTAGTGTCAAATGCATGTCAAAGACAGTTCACACACAGAGATGTGCTCAGTGGTTTGATAAACACTGGCAAAGAAACAACATAAACAGTTCATCAGTGTCTCGTGGCTCCTCACCACTTTATACTGAGTCCACTGGTGTTTTTTTCTATGCTGTGGTACTGTGTGTGCAGCAGCTGTCTGGCTTTCTCCTCACCCACACTCTCTAACCAGCTCTGATAGAGTTCAGCCACTCGTGAGTCCTGCTCTGGCACTGAGGGACGTTCACCGCGGTACAACTCCTCCACCTGCTGCAGCAGCTCTTTGTTAGTTTGATCTGATGAAGGCTTAAGCTGACCGCCACCGTTAAGACATCCTGTAGAACACAATTAGAAGTGTTAGTGAATCCGATTATTTTAAAATGCTGCCAAACAGCACTGAAACACCATCCTATTATTGTCTGAGTGTAGATTTAATTCAAGAGAATAGTATCACAAGAGTATCCAAATATATACACTACCGGTCAAAAGTTTGGGATCAGAATCAGTGGTCTTGTGTGTCTTCCATTTTCTAATAATTGCTCCCAAAAGTTGATTTCTTCACGCCAAGCTGCTTACCTATTGCAGATTCAGTCTTCCCAGCCTGGTGCAGGTCTACAATTTTGTTTCTGGTGTCCTTTGACAGCTCTTTGGTCTTGGCCATGGTGGAGTTTGGAGTGTGACTGTTTGAGGTTGTGGACAGGTGTCTTTTATACTGATAACAAGTTCAAACAGATGCCATTAATACAGGTAACCAGTGGAGGACAGAGGAGCCTCTTAAAGAAGAAGTTACAGGTCTGTGAGAGCCAGAAATCTTGCTTGTTTGTAGGTGACCAAATACTTATTTTACCGAGGAATTTACCAATTAATTCTTTAAAAATCCTACAATGTGATTTTCTGGATTTTTTTTTCTCATTTTGTCTCTCATAGTTGAGGTATACCTATGATGAAAATTACAGGCCTCTCTCATCTTTTTAAGTGGGAGAACTTGCACAATTGGTGGCTGACTAAATACTTTTTTTCCCCACTGTATATATAATTAGGAATGTAATTATACAATATAATTACAAAAATATATTAAAACATACAATTACAAAATATAATTCTAAAAGAGTTAAATAGTAAAATTGTCCTACAGTGATGCTGATTGCAACATTTTTTCCCATACATATAGGCATCATATGGCATGTGTTGAGAGGTAGGTTGCACAAAGCTGCAGAAAATGTACAAATGTCACAAAAAGGTTTTTAAGGACTAGAGGTGTCATTTCTCAGAGGACCTCAGATGATGCCAACCCTGAAACAACATACAGAACTATGACATTTTGCTATAAGTTTGATTGCATCATATAATAATTGCTGTTAATAGTGTTCATCATCTGTTTGATTAAGTCTTTAATTGATTTTTCCGTACATTTCTGCCATATGTATATTAACTGACAGTCACCACTGATAAGCTACCACTAAATATTGTAGAAACTTAATTTGCTGTAAAGTTGCTTTGTATCGTGAAAAGCGCTGTACAAATAAACTTGAATTGAATTGAATTTCTGACCTGACGGACATGCCATCACTTCTACAAAGTGGTACAGTGATTTTCCGCGTTTCAGCTTCTGCACCAGGTTCTGAATGTTCCTGAAGCCGTAGACGACAGCAAACTGCAGCAGAACTTGACCGTCCTTCTCTAGAGTGACTTCCTGGAAGTCTTTGTTCCTTTTGAAAAAACAAACAAACAAAAAAAACAGAGACAATGTTAGTTACAAAAATGTACCGAGGCACTACCATAAGATGTGACCAATAAACTATAGTAGCACCATGGTACTTCTGGAAATGTTATGGTGAACAAACACTTGTTAAATCAGTCTTTTTAAATAAATAAAACGTGACAAGCAATGCATATTATTCCTTAAAATAACAGTACTGTGGTAGAGTGATTTATCAGGTGTTAATAAGGTATTTTAATACAAGCCATGAAAGATTATTGTATTAATTTACTATGGTGCTTTAATGTACTTTCAAGAATACCATAATATTACATGGTTCCTCAAATTTCTGACCAATTTCCAGTCCAAAAAAAAAACACGTTTTAAAGTGGGTTTTAAATATGATTTCATAAAGAAATTCTTAATTTAGAAATCAGTAAATTACAAATGACTTTCTAGTCATTTCTAGCCAAAGAAATACTTTAGAAAAATTAAGCATAACTGGAAAAATTACATTGGCTATAGAATTATGTATTAGCATAATCTAAGACTTCCATAATCTAATTTCCATGAAAAAAAATCTTTTTCCTTAAAAAAAAAATACTCTCATATTTCTAGGGTTTCCCGGTCTGTCTCAAAAACCATGGTAAATATTTCTAACATTTAAAAACCAGTTTATAATTCTATAAACCAACATTCAAAAGTTTGGAGTCTTTGGAGATTTTTTAAAATATTTTTCCAAAGATGTCTCACCAAGGCTGTTTATTTGATTGAAAATAAAGAAAAAAACACAAATATTGTGAAATCTTATTACCATTTACAATCAAATTTGTCTATTTTAAAAATAACTGTTTTCTATTTGAATATATTTTAAAATTATTGAATTATTAATTATTTAAAATAAATTGTAATGTATGTCAATTCTGATGTAAAGCTGAATTTTCAGCATCATTACTCCAGTCTTCAGTGTCACATGATCCTTCAGAAATCATTCTAATATGCTGATTTAGCACTTAAGAAACATTATTATTATAAATGCTGAAAACAGTTGATAGATTTTTTTCCCCCAGGATTCTTTAATGAATAGAAAGTTTAAAAGAACAGCATTTTTATTATTGGAAATAGAAATCTTTTGTGACAATGTAAAAGTCTTTTGATCATTTTGATTAATTTAATGCAACCTTACTAAATAAATGTTTGAATTTCTTTAAAAGAAACTCTACTGACCATAAACTCTTTAAAGGGTTAGTTCACCCAAAAATGAAAATTCTGTCATTAATTACTCACCCTCGTGTTGTTCCAAACCCGTAAGACCTTCGTTCATCTTTGGAACACAATTTAAGATATTTTTGATGAAATCTGAGGGTTCTCTGACCCTCCCATAGACAGCAAGGTAACTACTACGTTCAAGGTCCAGAAAAGTACCAAGATGATCGACAAAGTAGTCCGTGTGACATCAGTGGTTCAACTGTAAAGTTACGAAGCTACGAGAATACTTTTTTGCGCAAAGAAAACAAAAATAACGACTTTATTTACTGCGTCACTTGTGGACGCACGTTCACGACAGTACCATGATGCGAGCGTGTGGCGGTGCTGACCCAGATCCGGCGTAATGACGCCACACGAAAATGGGGAATAAAGTTGTTATTTTTGTTTTCTTTGCGCAAAAAAGTATTCTCGTAGCTTAGTAACTTTACAGTTGAACCACTGATGTCACACGGACTACTTTGTCGATCATTTTGGTACTTTTCTGGACCTTGAACGTGGTAGTTACCTTGCTGTCTATGGGAGGGTCAGAGAGCCCTCAGATTTCATCAAAAATATCTTAAATTGTGTTCCGAAGATCTTACGGGTTTCGAACAGCACGAGGGTGAGTAATTAATGACAGAATTGTCATTTTTGGGTGAACTAACCCTTTAACACTGGTGAACAAACAACACAGTTCTGGGATCTTTGTAACAATATTGCTGAGTTCAGACGTACTTCATAGTCTTGTAAGTGAGTTCATCTACTTCAACCCTAAACAGCTGTTTGGCGGCATATTTGTAGATGTGGTGAAGGTATCCTCCAGATCCACTTCCTGCGTGACCCAGCAGCTCCTCCCCACACACGTTACTGAACCTAAAACCCACATTCACACCTGCAAATCCACACATATAACTCTATTTCATAAGTGGTAACTGGGTTTTACTGTCAAACATGAAGAACTTGCATCGTGTCTAAATGTCCCACTTCC